CATATAATGGGCTGAGATGCATTGAAAATATTGAAATAAGTTATATTGAAATAGGTTAATTATCATCAATTAATTGCCAGGATCAGAAAAAACAGCCTGATTTACCAAATCCAGCTCCTGCTCTTTTAAATTTATACTCAGCTTCATCATATTTACGCTCTTTTAAAAGTCGCTTTCCATGAAGATACAAATTTGCTGGTGTATTAAGCAATAAACGAACGTATTGATTAAGATGATCTATGTAACCAGATGCTTCCAAAAGATGACCAAATTTAGCATACGTTTCAGGTGCCATAACCATGATATGTGGTGTTTCTGGTAAAAATCCAATTTTATCCAATAATTCTTGAACTCCGCGCGTGATTATTATAGGAATTAATTGCGATCGGAATCTCAGAACAAGAGGATAGCGTTGGACAATAAGACTATAGAGTAAACTATATCGCAAATCTGGAGATTCTACAATCTTCGTGGCATCAATCACATTCAAATATGGAAATTTCGTAAGCTTGCCATCTTCAGATGCAGAATCTGTCGTTGCATCTGAATATGCAGATTGTTCTGATATCCACTTTAGTATCATATACACATATAGAGTAGACATCGCCATGGACGCTCTCTGATCAAAACCAGAATTTGGTTTAGTGCTAAGTATTACTACCAACAAGAGAAAGATCCTATTGCATTTGCTAATTGACTTTTTGCATGTTCAAAAAATCCATATACCGTATTGCTCGTTTATGATTCCTTTGCACAAAAATATATCGTTCTTTGCTTCGCTCCAAATAATAAACCTCACAAAACTGTAATGTATTAATTGGTTCCTCCAAAATTACTGGTTCCTCAAAAACATTAGAAAAGTCATCGATTATGAATGAAATAGGCGCCTTATTCCTTTTTTTTAAAAAAGGATTTATAAAAACGTTTGCCCCGCAGTCTCTTTTATCTAAAAAAAAAAATTGTTCATTGTTTTTGGCATGAAATAGTTTACAGATCGACTTCCAAAAAGCCATTTTTCCATTTCTTATATCGATCCTGACACCAAGTGTTATTACGTATATTTCAAGATCAGGAATTGGTAATTCATTGGCATTTGACTTTTCTAGTAGAAGATTTATAGCTGTGATAATGGAAGTAGTCTTTCCGCTTTGGCAGTTACCTTTAACATAAATGTAATATTCTTTTATAAGATATTGATACAATTTCGTAATTGTATGTTTGGGAGCAACATAAAAATTGAATATTTCATTGGCTTCAATGCCTTTAGTGAAATGTTCTGAAGAAAAAAATTATATTAAATTTTCAATTCATTCGTTTCAGACAGGTACTCTCAACTTACTAAACAATATATCATTTTTTATTTTTTTAGGATGTCATTTTGTAGAGCCTTCATTATTATGTTTTTTCTTTGGTTCTTGATTTTCTTTTTCTTTTTCTGATATCTGTAAAACAACAAATTGTAAAACAGAAGAATTTGTGAGTAAGATCATCTCTGACATAAGAAAATACATGGCTGACATTTTCTTAGACATTAGCAGACTATCAAGGAATCTCCCATAGTAAAATGTGCACGTTGCAGAGGAAGTGAACAAAGGCTTATAAAAAATTTGTTGGATCTTTAGCTTTTGCCCAAAAAATATCTATATTGACTCTACTTCAAATATTTTTGAATTATGTAAAGATCCTTTTTTACAAGGTGCCACAATGGCTGGATGCTCTTCTTCCCTTGTGCTAGTGGGACAGGGACGTAACACACCTTACTACTTTTCATTAGTGAAACACTAACCATTAAACTTCAGATTAAAACTATGACTTTTCTTGCTTCACGTGTTTCGGGTTAGATTTTCTTTTAGCATTTTTGGTTTTTCAACGAAAAAATTATGGCATGTTCACAGTGATTTGTTGGGTGTTGTATTATGGATGAAGTTGGTCCAACCTTTCAAGCCCTATTCAAGGTACAACGTATTTTTCCAATAATATGGGTGAAGTTTTTCTGCAACGGTTTTTTCTAACATAGAGAAAAGAGGTTTGGATTTCAGAAAATTTGATGAAAACATGCTTATATTTATAGGTAAGCAAGTTATGGCAGCGTGAAAGTCGCGTAAGTTGCATGTAGATCTGTGTAACCATATTGCAAAAATCGGTTTTGATTGTTTAGTTAAATATGAACTTTTTAGTATATCAAAAACAATATTTTTAAGTAATTGGAAACCGGAAAAAACCGGTATAAATACGGAGCTATTTGACAGGGACGTGGAATAATATCGATTTACACTAATTGATCAATCTGAATAGGGCACAGGTTGTATTGACGACCCCAAATTATACTCTGCTTTATCTTTACGTTAATTTTGCCCAAATCCGTAATGTTACGATTCCCTACCGCTACGATTTGACCCCAAAATGTCGTTTTGTATATGATCAATACCGTATATTTTTCCACGTCCCTGCTATTTGATTGGATTATTGTCACGTGACTTATAATAAACTCTAACCTTAGGTGCAAAATGGCATAAACTGGTAGGTCTATTTGAACGACGGTACTTGGTGCGACTTTTCATTATTAACATTCCATTTCCTGCTTTCGTATTTATTGATCCACCTTTGGACAAACAACTTCATCAAGAATTCATTGTTTTTTCAGTTTCACAGCAACGTCAATTTATTTCTGCGATTATTGCCCACATTGGCCACATCGACCCTTTCGTTAAACACACTTTGGGTTTACCATCTAAGCTAGATTCAACGTCCTTTTCATCAGAATCAACCACGCCGCCTTCATCATCTGAGACCATATGCGCACACCTAATTTCCGCTTCATCAATTCTAATTCCTTACATCCATTGCAGCAACATCATCCTCGTCAACAGATTTTCGAGAGTCTTCAAATACTTTATACTCATATTTATCATCACCGATCTCTTGATAATAATAATCAACGTCACATATCACCGGCTTTTTTTATATTGGAATTCTTAATAATTGTTGAACGCCTTATGCCGTAATCACAATACCAATGCTATATATTTCATTGGCATTCTTCTCATCATAATCACCAAAATCATTTCCACATTCAATTCATCACTTTAGTACATTTTGACCATTTGAAAGCTTCAAGTCCACCAGCAGCAGACTTTTGATAATAACCGAATGCCTTATGCTTTTCCATTTTTCATGATGATAATTACCAACGTTAAATGCTTCTTCGACAAGTCCCATCGAGGCTTTTTTGATAATGGAAGTCTTTCATTCAGTTTGACTCCAATTCCACTAACGTTACTCATGTTTTCAGATTTTTGATAATGGATGAATTCTTTGGGTTCATCCTTATCGAATCCATTTTCATTTTCATAACGACCACCTTTGCACGCCCCAATAGCGTTGTCCAGTTCGCTGATTTTTGATGACATTCGAACGTTTTCCCTTCGCTTTTGACACCTTTCTCTATTTCCATGATTAGAAGGAATCCTGTATCCTCGATCTTGTCGTCCAGATTCGTATCGTTCTTCCTATTCTTCTATTCATTCGTTTTATTAACCATCCTTCTTCCTTTTTAGGTATCTCCACATCACGTTCTAGACGTTCATGTTTCAACTGATCGAGGCAATCACAAGCTAAATTTCCTGGGCATCGACATTCGCAACATAAAAGCCTTTGTTTTGCTTAATTCCTTCACAACCTTAACCATTATTGTCGTGCAGGTTAACGAATGGGATCGTTCCACTTGAAAATCTAGCTCTGGTGGCGGCACTTTACATTCGCACAGCGCCTTAACAACTACACAGCCGCGACTACGACGACGTTAGCGACACACACGAAACTGTAAGGTAAGCGACCAGTACTTTATCGATTGAGCACGTATGTATTTTTTTATTACGAAAAAGAGAACTGTCGCTTTGGCTTATTATGCCCGACTCCGCCAGGAGTCTAGACACTTTTGCAGTAACGTGATGTGGCGTATTGTGGCACATTCGAGTAAGCTTTTTTTGCTTTATGTTATGTTTCCGGTTAGGGTTCGTGGTTATAGGCCTTGAAAGATCATTTCCATGTGTAAAATTATGCTCTCGACATTTCTTGTTAGTGACCAAAGGCCGATTTAAACACTAGTTTTTGGGTATTTTCACTTGTTTGACGTCAGGGACGATCAAAATTTACGCATCCCGATTGGCCATTTCTCATGCGCCACATCACGTTACTGCAAAAGTGTCTAGACTCCTGGTGGGGTTCAATGACTCGGTATTGCCACAGAAATCTGTTACGTAATCGCTTTTTTCAATAACAGAATTACAACACAACGAGATTTCTTTAAGAAATAATTGAAGTTTCTTTCGTATATTTATTCAACTTACTAGAATTTATTTAATTATTGCTACAAATTCTAAGTCAAATTACATTTAATTCGGATGTATAAATTGCAATTGTATTCAAATTTAAATTTTATTTAATGCATATATAAAGCTTTAAATTTGAATTTAATGCTACTATAATATTAATAAGAGGTGTTTTTGATATGTTTATTCCAAGTTTTTGGAAGCTTTTTTACCGTTCGAAATCTTTAATATCATCTAAAGTTCGATTCAATACTTCGAAGCCAATTTTTTTGTTTGGGAAGATTATAAGAATTTTCAAGACAATTAAGCGGCTAAATCATAAAATTATTAATAAAAATATTTATTTAAACACGGCAATATAATGATAAAAAGTTTTTTTATACCTCATGAAAAGCTTTTCTGTAATTATCTTCAGTTAAATTGACTTGGTGTAATCAATTAAGGCGATGTTTGAATAATTTCCCATAAAGTTTCTTTAATATTGAGAATTTATAAATGTTATATTTAGAAATTTTCAAACCGAGAGGATTTACAAGATATTTACGTAATAAGAATCTGTTTTTTAAAAAAAATAAGGACAAGAATATGTCCAATTTTGATGATCATTTTTAATGCTCTGTGTGGTTAATTTATTCCACTCAGTTTTGAAATTTTACGCCACAATGGTAATGTTCGTTCATACAGGAGTAATTGAAACCGATGCAACTGTACTAGATATGACAGACAAGATTAATATGTAGCTGGTTGAATTTGTACAAGTAATCCTTTTACGTACGTACGTATGTACGTAGCATACTCTTCAGATTTTTTTTTGCTTGCGAATTTTATTTAAAATTCGATTCTCACATTTCCGTTTGTTGCTTTCATTTACACGGCTTGCATACTTAAAAAATGATTTATTATTAATTTGAAACGTGATATTTGGTTTTGTAAATATAAGCGTTCGTTTAAAGCTAGAAATGGCTTTTGTTGTGATTTTTATTAGTGAAACATTACGTTATCAAAAAAGTTTATATGTATGTACGTATGTAGAAATGCAGAAACACTGTGGTAATCTATACTATATTTAATCCGAACGTAACAGATCTTTGGGTGATGCCGATTCCCTATTTTTGGTAACATCTCTGACTGTTCTTATTTGTTTTCATATGGGCGGATTAAAATTTAATCCAATCATTAGCGCTAATTACATATACTAAGTTCGGCTTAAGCACCAATTATAGAACACTGTTTTATAGCCTTCAAAATTTCAGACATCAACTGTATTTTTTTTCCCGCACCCTAGATACAATTATTGGTTATAGTTTTATAAAATTTAATTTCGCTTGGCGACCAATTCTGGTTGGTTAAAAGGTGTTAGAATATTA